AATTATATTCATATATTAATTTTAGGGGAAATAACACTCACCTCCTATGAGGTCGGCTAAAATGACACTAACATCCATTTTAGTTTTAAAATATGCACTAACCTCCCCGAAGATTATCTATACCGACATAATCTTTAATGACAGATAAAAAAACATAGATAAATATCATTTATAACTACGGTTTTTTGCGGTTGCTAAAAATTAGAGGGGATGTCAATGTCATTTCAATATACCTCAAGAGAGGTTAAAGCATATTTTTAAACTAGAAGGGCATGTTCGTACCATATTTGTTGTGAAAATGAAAAGGTTTAATTCAAATCAAGGTTTTTAAAATGTGGGAACAAAGAACAGTAGCAACCAAAATAAATGGCCTTCAGCAATAATAACACTTAATTAGAAAATATAACAGAAGAAAATAAGGCGAGAAAGGCGGAAGGCTTTTTTACCCAGTTCGTTCAAAAGATCTACGCCTGGGGGAGAGAGCAGCTCTCCAATTCACTATACTCAAAAAGTTGTTACAAGATATTACAAATGAGTTACAAGAAAAAACCCTTCGCCTTCAGAGTTCCAAAGAACAAACCCCTATTTTCTACACAAGTGTTTCCCAGCCTCTCTAACTCTCAATATATGAATCACTAAAATCCAAGGTATCAAGAAGTATTGTATGATCCTTCTAGATAACTCTAAAATGTTTCCTTAAACCCTAAAATCTTATTTCTCAATTTTTATCTAAATCTTTAAAATTGTTGCACTGCAAATAACAAAAGAGATACATTTTTATAATTGCTAAAATTCAACATATCCATAATAAAGCCCAAAGCACAACCCATTAACAAACGGGTCCACGAACTAGCTTGAAAATATGTCAGTACCAAAATATGTCATTTTCCTTCTTTTTTTCACTTGTTGTTTTAAGACATATTATAACAATCTCCACCTTGACTTGAAACATATGGCAATGTCAACTTAACTACCAATCACCTTGCTGCTATCTCCAAAGCTTGAATCACTCTTTAAAAACCTTGATCCCACCACTTAAATCCACTTGCTTCCAATCATATTTTCTACCTAGATAACCTAACAAGCCCACAAGCATGGTTTTCCAACTCTCGTTAACTCCACCAGCTTTCAAATGCCTCTTCGAAGGTCCATGTTTTTGAATTTTACAATCCTTCAGCCACATTCAAAGCATAACACCTAAGGATAGCATAATCGTCCCTTTGAGATGCTACAATCTCCCTCCTTACCTTATCATGAGCCAAATGATGATCAAAGGCCTTTGTAATTGTTCCTTCACTACTAGTGCCCATAGTAGGAAACTCCATATCAAAGTGAGTCCTCTCTGCCATAGTTTCTGAAATAATCATCTCTTGGATTTTACCCTCTTCTTATGGAAGAAATCTCTACCAACCAAGTAAGTTGTTTTAACACCAACCTAACCACAATGAGTCTCATGCATATTTATCCTTTGTCTTCTACAAAATTTATTAAAATATATAGAGCACATATTTTTGTGATGAATGAGAGTATTCACTAGTTAGTGATGAATGAACAACATCATTTGAACCTTATAAAATATATAGAGCACATATTTTAGTCTATTTAACTTGGTCACTTCATCATACAAAATCTTCAACGCCATATATTCTACTATAGTATTATAGCCTAGATCATCAAACATGCTTATAGACAACATATTTCACTTGAGTTCCAGAACATACCTCACATTATCGGGAATAAACTCACGATCAACGGACATTTTAGTCTTACCGTATCAATGTCATAAATCTTGAAAGCCTTATCATCATCAAGGCGAACTACCCCACCTTGCTCCAACTTTAAAGTCTCAAAGTATTATATTCTTTGACACATGTGATAAGAGTAACTTAAGTCTATCTCCCAACTATCTTCAGTCTCCAAACTCGATATTAATTTTGCATAAAAACTCTCATAACCATCCTCATCTAAGGAAACTACAACTTAAACATAATCATCATTGTCCTTTATCTCAGGTAAATCCCTCTTGAAGTGATATTTTTTCTGACATTTAAAATTTTTTACTTTTGATGTTTGAAATCTCTTTGATTTCGATATCACTTTACGCTCACTTCCTTATCTTGAGACACTCAAGCTTTCACCACTTTGATCAATTTTCAAATCTTCCACCTTTGAAAATTCTTTGGATTTCACAGCTTCCTGGACTTCATCAAAAGTAATATTATCTTACTTACCATAAATAATGGCATCCTTAAAGTGCTCAACGGGTGTAGATAATGATCTCTACACGAGTAGAACCTTGTCCTAATGATCGATCTTCACCTCAATATTCTCAAGATCATCAATAATCTTGTGAAATTCTCCCAGTTTCTCCACTATTGATTTTTTTCTTCACCATTCGGAAAGAGTAATCTTGTTGTTTCAGACATAACCTATGAGCCAAAGACTTGGTCATATACATGATTCAAGTTTTTCCCACATCAAAGTTACAGTCTGCTTTTTGGAGACTTCCCTTAGAACTTTATCCCCGAGACACAACATAATGACACTCTTATCCTTATCCATAATCTCAGTGTTCTTTACTTTTGTTAGGCATGCAGGCATCAATGCCTCGCCTTTCAAAGTTTCAATAAACTTCTCTTTAGTTAAAATTTCTTTTATCTTCACGTTCCAGAACCTAAAGTCGTTGTTTCCGAAAAAGTTTGTGATCACCACTTAAGCCATGGTGCTCGCTTGTAAACATTACCCCTTTGTCCCACGGTGGGCACCACTTTTTGCGAAAATTAAAATGTTCAATTCAAATCAAGGTTTTTGATATGTGGGGACAAAGAACAGTAGCAACCGAAAGAAATAGCCTTAATCAATAATAACGAATAAGCGGAAAATATAACAAAAGAAAATAAGGCGAGAAAGGAGAAAGGTTTGTTTACCCCCCATCAATCAAAATATTTACGTCTGGAGGAGAGAGCAGCTCTGCAATTCACTATACTCAGAAAATTGTTGCAAGAGATTACAAATGAATTACAAGAAAATAGTCTTCGCCTTCACGGTTCCAAAGAACAAACCCCTATTTTCTACGTAAGTGTTTCTCAACCTCTCCAACTCTCAATATATGACTCACTCAAACCCAAGATATCAAGAAGTATTGTCTGATCCTTCTAGATATCTCTAAAAGGTTTTCTTAAACTCTAAAGCCTTATTTCTCACTTTTGCTCTAAAGCTCTAAAATTGCCACACTGCAAATAACAAAAGAGATGTGTGTTTATAATTGCTAAAATCCAATATATCTATAACAAAGCTCTAAAACACAACACATTAACAAACGGGTCTGGGAACTAGCCTGAAAATATGTTAGAATAACTTATTTTTATCTATACATTAAAGTATGTTTCAAAAAGTAGAGAGATAAAGATGTATAGGCTCTACAAAAATTATTAGCCTAAAGAATCAGATGAACATGCTCTACAAAATACTTTTAAATAGGCTAATAAGCTAAATAGACTTTTAAATATGCCAGGACAGGGGTCCTTTAAGTTATTTTATTTTAACATGTTAGTTCTTTAAGTTTTTTTGTAACAATTTGATTTTTTAAGTTTTTTTTTATTGAATTAGAATCTGACTTTATATTTTTTGGATGCTACTTTATGTATTTAGGATAATAATATATGCATTTTATTGCAAATCTATGTATTTTGGGTGATTAATTTAATCTATGATTGGAAAAAAATGGTAAAAAAAAAGGTCAATCGTGCATACGTTAGTTTAGGGGTTTTCAAAACCAAACCGGCCCAATAGAAAACCGCAAACCCGAACCGAACCAAACCGAAACCGCAAAAAACCGCATTTGGTTCGGATGTGTTTGGGTCATTTTCTCACGGAACCGCACGGTTCGGTTCGGTTTGCGGTTTGTATTTTACAAACCGAACCAAACCAAACAAAACCGCATTATGTTATAAAATCTTACTAACCAATATCTATTTCTTTAATTCTTTAGAGAAATAAACATGTATTATGTGTATATTTTATCATACTTTGTATTATATTCATTTTAATTTACAAATTATAAAAAAAATAAAATATTATTCATTTATAAATACTATTTTCACAAAATATATTTTATCGTATTCTTTGCATAATATTTATTTAAGAATGCAATCTTGTTTATATCATTCTTTAAATTTTGATAAAATTATAATACGCAATTTTATATATCAAATTATAAACTTATTTTGTCAATTATAAAATTTTATGGTAATGTACGAATAATTAAACACAAAATTATATTTTCCTCTATATTTGTTTGTATGACTTAATATTTTTTTTTGTAAATAACCGAATCAACCGAACCAATCCAAACCGTATTAGTTTGGTTTGGTTTGGTTCGGATTTATTTTTAAAAGCCAACCGAATCAGACCGAACCACATGTTTTTTCTCTTGTGGTTCGGGTGATTTTTTGCTTCGAAACCGCCCAAACCGCACCGCGAACACCCCTACGTTAGTTAACTCAAAGGACTCACTTGTAGCAAAAAAAACTTAAAAAACCCCCTTATTACAATAAAATAACTTAAAAGATCCTTGATATATTTTTGTCTATTATTTATTATTCAATTATTTTACAATTTTTTAAACATTTCTGTTTATTATCATTTATAAAAAGAATTTTATAAATTACTTAAAATTTTCTTTTTCTCATATAAAATTTAATTATATTCATTAATTGATGTGAAATAGTCAAACTTTTATATAATTTAAAACATAAAGAATAATATTTTAAATAATTGTTATTTGAATATAAAGTTTACATTGTATATAAAATAAAATAAGCTACATCATATCATCATTTGTAGAAATAAAATCTTAAAAAATCAATTTTTTTGTTTATACAGTGTTTAATGTGAAATTTTGTGTTCAAAATAATATTTTCTCATTTTCTTCTCGGTCACAGTCAATCTAATGTGCATCCTTGAGAACTAAAAAGCTCATAAAAATTTTATGTTTATCAATGGAGAGAGATATACTACCTTGGTTGCAACCTCCAACCGAAGAAGAGCAACACACAACTGGCGGTAACAACAACAATGGCGATGATTTCAGAAAGGTATGTAACCTTTTATACAAGCTCTTATTATTTTTTAGGCTAAATACCATTTTTTATCTCGTATCTTTAACTCGATGTTCATTTTGGTCTCTAAGGCTCTGGTTTCTCATGTTCTTCGTGAACATGGCAATGTTGATTTGATATTTCTGTGTTAATTTGCCATCGCCTGCCACAACCACATATGACATAAATATTGAATTTCTCTTCAATTAAAACATGCTCTTTTCACGTAACAATAAATTCCTTTCAAACACCAAGACAAATCATGTGAAATACATAAGTTAAGTAGGATCAATCAAATGAAATTAACTTAGAAATAAATCTTGACTATTATGTCAGATACTTCGGTGAGATTGAGTAATCAAAAATCTGTAGTGGGGTTTGATTTTATTAAATATTAACCAATATATTATTGTTTGATATGAGACATGCTCAAGTATTATTTTTTTAAACAAATATGTAATATATAGTTATATCAATGAAATAAATTGATTGAAACGGTGGACATAAATAAATCAATTGATGAAGATGAGTTAAAACATAAACAATGTTTTTTTATTTGTACAGAGAAACAAAAAATTAAGTTGGAATGAGAAACATTAATTTTTAATCCAATTTTTTTTTAATATGATGGTCTATAAAAGATATTCTCATTTCACATGATATGAACTGAAATCATTATAAGTTGGAGGGGTTTAAAAGATATTCTCTGCTTTGCAACTTTGACTTCTTCTACGAGGGTAAAGTAAAAAAAACAACAATGCAGTCTGTCATTAAATTTTAGTTTAAGAAAAGATTTAATGAGTAGATTGGAAACGGAAATGAAATCTTAGTGATTTATTTTAGGAAACGATAATCATAGTGATTAAGTTTTTAAGGTTTCCTTCCTTCCACTAAATTCAAGTTGTTTCCCATTTCATGGAAACGAAAACAACAACCCAGGTTGGAGAAATACGAACAACTTAGATTGAACCTTTATGGTTGTGATAGTTGGTTATGATTTCTACTACTCTAACTTTTGTAATTGTTCTTGAGTATTCGTGTAGTTCACCTTGTTTCCATAACAGAAAGCCTTAATTTGTGATAGATTTTTGGATTTGAAATTACTATCTTCATCTTTTTCAAATTGGATTGAGATTAGATTTATGTATATTTTTTAATAAATATTATTTATTATGTGGCACCGGCTTTCACCTTGAAAAAATAAAATGACACCTAGCCATTTCAGATTCCATACCAGTGCGACATGGATTATTTTATTGACTTTGACTAACTGATTAGACAAAAAGTTTATCGTGAAACATTTTTGTATAGTTGAAGGACTATTATGGTCTTTTAAAAATAATGGACTAAATTGTACATTGATTCAACGATAAATTACCAAAAAAGAGATATTTAGCCTATTTTTTATTATTATTGTGAACCTTTTTTTAATAGCAATTCTTAATGTTACAAAATATCATGTTTTAATATTGTTGATACTAAAAGGCATTAGTAAGTTTATGATAGTTAGGGATTTCCTGCGGCAGCAAGAAGCTATGTGTGATGGTGTTTATGGTATTTACGGTGGCTTGAGAGGGCAAGCTCATGTGAGGAAACATGCTTTGTACATAATCGTTGTGCTTAGGGTGTAATGATTTTTCTTTCTCACGTTAGGGGAGAAGTATTTATATAGGTCTTTGGGCCTAGGGTTTCCTTGAGAATGATCATCACTCACTCAGTAAATAATGGATCATTGAATCCCTATTCCCGAGAGAGGTGTGGATCATCTATTAGCCCTGACTTCTCTCTGACCAAGAAACTTTTTTTTCTTACGTTTCCCATAAATGGGCGAGTGAGAGGTACTTAGGGCAAGGCAATTCCTCGTGGAGGGAGATTTACGGTCATCGCCCCTCCTAGGGACTACAAAGCTCCCGCCCTTGTTATGTCCTTTACAAATATAACAGTACACAATCCCTCAAGCACGAGGGCTTTGATCAAGGGTAAAGTGTTTTTCGATCATAGTGCATTGGATTATCCGGGGCCCTAAGTTTCTTGGTGATATGTGTTACAAACATGCCCGACTATCTTGGATGGGGGAACTGTAAGTCCCAAGGCTTGGCATTGGACATCTCGGGATGGACTTCTATCAAGCCATCAAACAAGACATTAAACCAAGTCTCTTAGGCTATACTTTAGACACACTTCATGGGCAAGATTTATATGTTGGGTCCCGCCAGAAAAAACTCCAAGTCTCTCAGAATGGGAGTTTATATAACATGTTTGATGGAAACTCCTAGTCCCCAAGGCTAAGTTATATTTAACTTGGATGATATGAATGTAAGTCCTTCAAGCGAGGCATTGGACCTCTCTAGAGGTACCTCTATCAAGCCCTCAAACAAGACTTTAAACCAAGTCTCTTAGGCTAAAATTCAGTCACGCCTCCAAGCCGATATTTATATGGTGGGTCCCACCTATAGAAAATCCAAGTCTCTTAACTGGAAGTTTAAATAGTTTACTAGTGTTTCCTTAAAGTACGACAAGGATCTTAGCCCAAAAGTCCAACTTAAATATATTACCTTACGTGGTGGCAAAGAACTTTACCAGGAAATCCAACATACAAAGTATTGCCTTAAGAGGCAGCAAGGATCTTTTCCAAGAAGTCCAACATATAAAATATTTCCTTAAGAGGAAGTAAGGATCTTCACCAGGATGTCTAACATACAAAATATTGCCTTAAGAGGCAATAAGGATCTTCGCCAAGAAGTCCAACATATAAAATAATAACTTTGGAGGTGGCAAGGATTTTCTTCATAAAGTCCAGCATACAAAATATTTCCTTGAGATACAGCAAGGATCTTCGCCAGGATGTCCAACATATAAAATATTTGAAAATAGTCTCTCAGTTCATAAACATTCAATAAGTTATTCATATACATGTGATTATGTTTCTTAGGGTATTATAATAATTTAATTGTAATAATATTTAAGACATAGAGCATTCCAAGTTATGGGTGGTAGTTGCCCGTCCAGTTCTTGTAGCTTGTATGCCACATGAGAGAGCTTTTGGAATATGACATATATTCCTTCCTAGTTAGGTTTTAGTTTTACCTATTGTGCAAGTAGAACCACTTTCTTTAGGACTAGGTCACCTTCTCACAATTCCCTCAATATTACTTTGGAATCGTACCTTCTGTTGGATCTACGTTTTGCGGAAAATTCATGAACATGTGAAACTTCTCTTAGTTCATTGACCAATTATGCTTCACATTCTAGTCCTACTTTGTTGACCTTCTTCTTGAACTAGAAACATTTCCATGAAGTTGTGTCAATCTCCCCGGGTAGCATAGTGTTATCTCCATATACCATGGTAAACGCATTTCCCATGGTGGTAGAGTAGGGGTGGTGTGATATGACCATAATATTTCATGAAGAAGTTATGCCCATAAGCCTTTGGCATCATCGAGCTTCTTCTGAAGTCCCTTTAAGATACACTTGTTAGCTGACTCAGCTGGTCCATTGTCTTAAGGGTTGAAAATTGATACAAACAATGTTTGAACTACTAATTCTCGACAAAAACGAGTCAATGTAGCGCTTGAGAACTGGGTTCCATTGTTGGAGACAATGTCTCTAGGTAGTTTGAACCTACATATACTCCTCTACCGGTAGAAACAATTAATTCTTTCAGCTATGATTTTGGCGATAACATCCACCTCTATCCACTATGGGAAATAATCAACCCCCGTAATCAAGAATTTCAGTTGGTCCAGATCTAGGGAATAGGCCTAAGATATTCGCTCCCACTACTAAAAAGGCCAATGTGATGTCATAAAATGAAGAAGCTCGACTAGGGCATGGTGAAGCTTAGCATGTCCTTGACACTATTTTCATATTTTGACTAAGGCAATGTTATCCTTCATCAATGTAGGCCAATAGTATCCCTCCCTCAATAATTTGTGGGTGAGATCCCTCTTGGAAATATGATTATCGCATAATCCTTTTTAAAAAGGATACCCAACATGGAACCTGTCATGAACCACTAACAGATCACAAGCTTACACAATGTGGGTGGGAGCTCGACTTCTATATAAATAGAATGAACAATGGAAGTTAGTCTCATAACAATAAATGGGCATATGTAGGACCTAAAATTGATGCTTTTAGCCAGACACACAACATACCCAACAAGCCTATTGAAAGTTGCCATATCACCCTCTCTGCATTTACCTTCAACATTAGAGTTTTTTATCCTCGTGCCTACCTTATCCAACCAATATCACAAAATACACATTTACCCCCATATATCCCAATATCCCCAAATTTCAAACAAAATTAATTATTCATATATGGAGGTCCGATATTTCTAAGTTCATTCAAGTTATACAACCATGTCACCCTGATGATTGTGACAAGTTAAGATGTTATAATCAATTAGTATGAATGTTGGTATTGGCATAGTCAATATGTTGTATAATATTCAAGTGTTTCATTGGAATTCCATGATGATCAAAGTGAGTATCATATACCTTAAATAGAAGCTACACAAGTAGAGAAATCTAAAAGACCCTATAGGATTAGATTCTCAACTAAAAATCTCTAAGTTTCTAACTAAATGATGACGCCAAGGGGAAAACTCATTCACCTAAATTTATTTTTTGATGTTATGGAAATCTCAATCCTCTCATCTATGAAGAAGCAACTACATCCTCTATGTGGGTTAGTGCTAAGGAAGAAGAAATTAAGGATATATATAGTAATCAAATAAGGAATCTAGTCTCCTTACCAGTAGAAAAGATACATAATAATTAAAATGGATCTACAAATTGAAGCACCTCCTAAATGATTTTATTGCCAAACATAATGAAAGTCTTTTCGAAAAATGATTCTTACAAAAACATGGCCTTAATTCACATAAGTTTTTCAATCGGTTGGAAGAATTGAGACAACCAATTTAGTGTTACTTGTTCTTATCTTATTGCAATGGAACCTTGTTTTACTAAATGTCAAGTATGCATTTATCAATTGTTTCCTCAAGGAGAAAATCTATGTTGAACAATCTCAGAGATTCGTTATGGCCTGAAATAAGCTTCTTGAACCTAGAACACGAGGAATGAAGAGTTCCTAAAGCAAATCGGTTATTCCAAGTGTACTATTTAACATGGAATTTATTTGAAAAGTGTGAATCAAGACAATATTAGTATAATGTGTCTATATAGATGATTTATTCATCACATGAATCAATCGCAATCAGATTGTGAATCTCATATTTAACATGAGCACTAAATTTGATATGACTGAATTAAGAGGTCTAAATATTAATAATTCACCAAAAAAAGTACATCAGTGATATCTTGAAGAAATTAGTATGCTAAACTGCAACTCGGAAAATACTCTTATGGAAACAAATTCAAAATTAAGCAAATATTTACATGGAAATATTGTAAAAAGAACATTATACAAGAAAATGGTAGAATGCTTAAGTTATTATAGCAATTCCATACCTGATATATGCCATAACATTAGTGTGTAAGAAGATTTGTACATGAAACTAAACAGTCATATATACCAGTTGTTAAAGGATTGTGAGATTTATTAAAGGTACAATAAACCAAGTCATCTTATTTACAAAACCTTACTGCCATAATGATAAGCTAACTGGTTTTATGAATCATATTAGTATGAAGTTAAATCAGAAAGAAGCACAATGTGATATGTGTTCAAGTTATTCAATTCTTCAATTTTATGATGGCCTGAGATGCAAAAAGTGGTGGCCATGTCTTCTTGTGAAGATGAGTATATCTTAACTTGCAATGTAACTTGTCAAGAAGGGTGGTTGTAATCAAAATATGTTGATTGAAATGAAGGTACGCATTGAGGAATAAATGGAATTAAATATAGAAAATAATTAACCTAACTGAAAATTCATAGCTCATGGAAGGAGCAAACACATTGAAATCAAGTTTCACTTTCTTCGAGATCAAGTAACCAATGACAATAATAAATTGACATATTGTAGAACATTGGATCGTATAATAGATGCCCAAACCAAGCCACTAAAGATTGAAACATTTAAAGAGATGAGAAAAATTCTCAATATAATTATGTAGAGACTTTAAATTAAAAGGGTGTTGAAGTATAATTAAAGTACCAAAGTGTTACATATAAGTACAAGTAACCAACTAACTAAGTTTGTTTAGATTATTGGAACTTGTGAGTGATTTCAAGTCCGACTAGTATTGTATATATAACCATCTTGAAATCATTAAGAATATAGCAGCTGAGTGTGAAGTATAATATGAATTAATGTATCTCTTCTATGTGTGTATAATTCTAACAAATTCCATATATTCTATGAAATTAATATTTGACATATTCTTAGTAATTGTGTTCAGTATTTCTATAATATGAAATGACACATAAACATTTATGATTGAAAAGTATGATTTTAGTTGTTATTATTCGCATGACAATTTTATGTATCTAAAATTTAACATGTGTTTTTGAGTTTCTCTTATTGCATAGGTTATGAATAACCTACCACTTTGTCCCTTAATAATATGTATGAGATGGTTTAAATTTTATGTATTTTATTTTTCTCATAGATGGATAAAGCTTCAATACTTGGAGATGCTATTGATTACTTGAATGAGTTACAACAAAAAGTTGATGATCTTCAAAGTGAGTTAGAGTCAATTTCTCTTGGATCATCACTGGCACCCACCACTTCAACCCTTCATGTACAAGTGAATGGAGAATTATGCCATAGCAATGTGCCAAGCGCTAGAAACCAATCAATAAAGGTATTTGTTTCATGCACTACAAACTTTTTATTCCCTATAAATTTTCTATTCATAAAAATTAATTAGAGGGAATCACATATTTTTGATACTTTAGTTGAGATTGTACAAATTTTGCAGGTTGAGGCATGGGAAATGGAAGAGGGAACTGTCAACATCCATATGGTTTGTGCCTACAAACCAGGTGTTTTGCTTTCAGTTATGAAGGCATTTGAAATCCTTGGATTAGACATTCACCAAGCTAACATAAATTGTTTCAATGGTTTTACTATAGATGTATACAAAGCTGAGGTATATATTTTTCATAATAATGTTTTATAATTATTTAATGTTTGAATATTTTGCTCATTGATTATTAACTCATCACTGTCTTCATAAGTTTTTCTATATTGATTTTGGTTTTTTTAAGTTTCTTTCCAGCAATGCAGACAAGGTCAGAAAGTGAACACTCAACTAATTAAAGAAGTGTTGGTGAATGCAGTGGATTACCATATGGCATGAAGTGAGTGAAGTTATGGACAAATGCAGGCTATCTTTATAAACGCACTGATTGTAGTTGTTGTAGCATGCAGTTTGTAAATGCTATTGCTTCTTATTATTTTGTTTTTATGGAAAGTTATACCTAGACCAGTTTCAAAACTGTTATGAGCACTTGATTTTTTTTGTATTTTCTATGGATTTTAGCACATCATACTTTTATTACTTTAAAGGTATTTAAGATATTGTTGTTAACCGTTTTGTCTTGTTAAGTGAGGTTTTTTTGTACTTTATCAATGTTTAGAAATTTGATCACTGAGGTGACATCTCTTTCACTTTATCTCCTCAATAGACTCAATCACGAGTCTTTTTTTCATTGGTCCATATTCATATCTCAACACAATTAAATTTTCACTATTTTGTTATCTGCAAATTATTTAACGTGCAGTTTTAATAACTCACAACACAGTTCAATTTTTTTTTGTTTTGTGCACATTGCTATACATGCAGCTTTAATATCTTTCCATCCAGATTTTGGTCAAAATCCCATTTTTTCATGGTCAAATTGTTTCACCATCTACCATACAATTCTTATGCGACATCTTCTCAAAGGCTCTCTCAAATTGCTCTTATCTCTTCAACCTTATTAGAATCATATTTAAAATTGAATTCTCATTTTTCTCTTTGGTTTCTCTCTTCACCATCCAAACAATCTCTTCCATCTCATTTCTCCGACCAACTCTACCACCACATTCATCCCAAACAAAAATTTATTTAGTCGTCACCCCAACCACCAACCTTTGTTTGTCTCACCTTTCCTTCATATAACAAGACCATTTGTTTTTCTTTTTTGTTTCAATTTTTTCACTTTTCACCATCTTTCCATATCTCCGTGTTCTCAATTTAGAAAATACTCACCCATGATTTCTCTCATATCCTTATCTCTCTCGCTATAAACACCTTCTTCTCCGACAATGATGTCCCCTGAACCCTTCCTTGAAATATTCTCACTACAAATCTATTGTCATCATTGTTGTAATACGGTGGGAGAACTAACTTGGGTGTTTTGTGTTTTATCGCAATTGTTGCGGATAGAAAGAGTCGCCACCGAATTTTCTTTTTATCCAATAAAGAAAAGGGTGAAAAGAACAAGAAAGACCCTTTGAGAGATTTTCTTGAGTTCAGGGGGTAGGTTATGAAAAGGGAAGGTGTTATCACCCTTTTCTTCTGTAGTCATCTATGGGCTCTTAGTTGCTTGATCACTTTTGGAAATGCTTGGTTTGAAATGTATTTGTGATTGGTGTAAGTTAGAAAATATTTTGAAAACGCCTTTGTTTTGGCAAACTTTGTAATGATTCTCGTCTCTATAAGAATGTATACAAAGTGTTGGTTTTAAAAATAGTTCAAAGAGAGGTTTTCTTTTGAAGATGTTTTGAAAGTGTGAGTGTGGAAATGGTTTTAGTTTGTGAGCAAGAAACTACGAGTGTTCTACCTACTCAAAAGGTCTTTGTTCTTTTCCTTATCCTTTAGATGTTTCTATCTTACCATTGATTGGTAAGAAACCCCATCATTGGATGTGAAGGGATGGGCGCGGGTCAATCGTATAGTCATAGAAGGCAACTTATGAGATGCTTTAGAAATTTTTGTAAGGGACTAAGACCGTTTTACCGAAGGTAACATCGAAGGGTCATCAAGGGACTAAGATCTTTTTTTTTATCGAGGGTATTTGCTAAAGCGTCCCACATTCGAGGGACATGAATATTTATTCGTAGGTAACAAGCGAGGTTACCCTAGGGGTGCTTGTGTGAATAGTGTTTCGATTGCATGCATTTTTGTCTTTCAGATTAGGTTTTTCTAACGGTTGATTTTATCTTGCCACACACACCCTAATTACTAACAATTATATTAAAGCGATAAATTGCGGAAATTAAAATTCTAAGCTATTACATCACTTAAGGTACGGGGGTATAATTTACAAATGGGGTTGAAGTAAAAACCTAATTATTCCAACCATATCGAATAGATATGAAGAAAAACATATAGAAAATATAAAAACAGTGTAAAAGAAAGGAAAAAATATTTTTAACCATTATGTGTCGACACATGTATCTATGCATCGACACATAACTCTTCTTGTTCCTGTAAAACCAAAATCAACTCAGTATGAGTCGATACATAAGGGTATGTGTCGAATTATTTCTTGTTTGTATTGACACATTCGTGTTTTATGTCGAATCATGCACCTTTTGTCTTTCTATTTTGGGTCTGGATAGCAGTATGTATCGACGCATAAGGCCTTGTATTGACTCATACCCTGTTCTGTCACTAAAATAAGTCGACTTATGTGAGTATGTGTCGACTCATGCTGCAGTTTTTTAGCTCTAACATTGTTCTATTGTCTGTACAAGTCAGCTCTCAACATATAATTGATAAAAATGAATAGTAAGCATGTAATTAGCTTCAAGGACAAAGATAGCTACATTTTATCTCCACAAATGAATCACTAATGATGCTTTAAATGAAAGGTTTAAAATCAAGAAGACTTGCCTTGAGACTGTAATTTGTGTCTTGAGTCCGAATACCTTTCAAGATGTTGTGAGGGCTTCAATGAACCTCCATAAAGTTGTTGAAATCCTTCTTTTGTATCGAAAATTGCTGAACCAAACTCCATCCCAGTCAAGTTGTACAATACTGTCTTTTTTTGTGTTTGGAAGGTGATGATAATGGCACTACAAAAACTATTATTGTGTTTGAATAATCTCTATGTGATGTGAAGTGTTTGGATAGTTGGTTTATGAGAAAGCTTACAAGGTGGGACAGTGGTTTGAGGTTTTGTTTTTCTGAATGAAGATAGAGCTGAGGATGAGCAGAAGTTACAAGAACAATTCTGTTAGATTTTCAAAACTCTCTATTCTCTTTCTAAAAGCCCACCTTTGTGTGTTGTGAAAACTATTTTTGTAGATGAAAATTGGCTGAGATTTGGGAGGGAAACAAATAAGTTTTTTGAACTATTTGGGTATACTGTTTCATTTCTTTTGAGATACAACTCTTAGGTGCTAATTTGGTGCAAATATGGGACCGATATAGTACCAGTTTTACAGGACATCATAGCAGGTTTTGGAGTAGGTTGTGACAATATTTAGAGGCAACATAACGTGGTTGTTTCTGTAGCAGTTTTGGAGTGTAGTAATCAACTTGGTGTAGGGTTGTTTTGTTAGAAGGACATCAGACTATTTTTTAACATAGTTTTGGGCTTGTAGCAACAGGCTTGGACTTGGTAGCATATTGTAGCATGATACAAATCTGGTTTTTATGGACAACATAGTGGCAAGATTTTGGATATTGAGTCAAAGGAAAAATTAAAACAAGACATAGCTTTAGGATTTGTAACTTAACAAATTCTAACTTAAAAATGGAGTCTTGTAATAACTTGAATTATTTGTAACATCTTGAATTATTTTGAATTGTAATGAAGAAAGATGCCATGAGGGAATGAAATTAATCATGTATAGAAAATACTTAGAAAAATTTCCCAAGTCTTGCAAAGTTTGATTTTTGACCTTCTTGATTTTTGATGTTCAAATTTCATATTTTGAACGTCTTGATGAAATATGATTTTTGAAACTCAAATTTGACCAAAAAGTCAAAGTTTGACATTTCAATGTACAATTGACTTTTTCATCAGTTGACCAAATTTCATCTATCAATCCACTGATCTCGGGAGGTGAATTGAAATATGCAAGTAGGTCAAAATGATGCAATTGAATCCTTGAGATCATATTCCAAACCAATAAGTCATGTACTAGGTCAAAAGTCAAAGATTGGTCATTCTCGGTCAAAACCCTAATTTTGACCTCTTTGCCCTTTTAATGATTTGGACAATTTTCTTGAAGAATTTTGATCCAATCTTGATCAAATGACTCATATGACCTCAAAATGTTGATATTGGTACAAATTATTGAAGTTTGACTGAAGGTTGACCATAATTGACTTTTTAACCAATATAGTTGATTTTAGACCACCAAATCAATTGGCTGAGCGATTTTGTGATCCAAGCCTTGAAAATTGATAGGAACTATCTTGAGGGTCCATAATGATCTATGGAAGTCATTTGAAACAATATAAGTCCAATTATCCTTGTGTGAACTCAAACCCTAATTTGAGGCATCAATGTTGAGCAGATGGCTTGACCTAGTCAATACTTGTGCAAGCTTGAATCATTGAAGATCTTTCTGAGAAATATCTTAAGAAGAAGAAAAGGAAAACTTTGGGGTACAACAATCGTCTTTTGACTAAAACAACAAAAATGTCAACCAACTCCCTACCAACACAAGAAAATACCAATCAAACATGTTAGACCCTTAGTTCTGTTGGATAAGTAACTTTAATCATAATAGGGGAGTGATATGTGTTAGTTTAAAAATATTTGATTAAAAATAAAATCTCTGAGAAAACTAGAATTTGAAATTATTTGTAAAACAAGCAAAGAAATAAGTAGTCGAATAAAGAAATAGATAGAAAAATAGAGGAAAGAAAATAATTGAAAAATAAAATAGATAACGGAAAGAGAATGATACCAACAAATTATAGAGGTTTGATCTAAAAAAAGGAAGTATAATTCTCTCCTCAAGAATTTATTATTGAGAGTTTCCAATATGTATTGTGTGAGCTTTTTATAGAATTTCTCACTAATCTTCTTACATTCTAACTTGGAGTTTTTACTAGCTGGCCTCCTAAATCAAGATATTGTTTGCACGTGATAACCACTTAACCAAAGGGAGATTTTACACTAGGCTAAGCTCATGAACTTTGTGGGAAATTTTACACGGGCTTAAATCTGAACCTTTCCTGGAGAATTTATACAGGGTGATCTCAAAACCTGAAAGAGATTTTAAATAGGCTTAGCTCTAGAACTTTGCACGGGATTTTACACAAGATTATTTGGGAACCAAACATTGATTTTATACGGGATAAGCTCAAGAACCTTTATGGAGATTTTGCTGGCTGTTCTTCATGAACCAAGC